AATCACAGATGCTAATCCGTTGCGTCAAATGAATTTCCTTTAACTGGTGAGGGATCCATAAATCAAGTTTCTTGACATAACCAAGGGTTTTTATTTTTTTGTCAATGCATGTATGCGACACATTGAGCTTCTCTGCAATATCTCGTGTTGTGCTGTGACGATTTGAATCGATAATGGCCTTGATATGGGTTTCATCCACTTCGACTGGGCGGCCAGATCGTTGTGAATTTTTCAGTGAAAAATCACCGGAACGAAATCTTTCAAACCAATTTCGACACTGCCTTTCTTTTAAGGCTTCATCTCCATATACGGCACATAACTTCTTTTGTGCTTGCGATGCGTTCTTGCCTTTTCGGAAGTAATACAATAAAATGTGTCGGTAGTGCACGTCCTGTTCTTTCATTTTTAAATTGAGATAAAAACAAAACTAAAGAACTAAATAAAAAAGATTTTTTACTAATTAACCTAGAAGCCCATACAGTAGGAAGAAAATATAGGTTAGATGCTCTGGCCACGTTAACAAAACAAAAGAAAGTATAGAGTGAATCTGTCAACAAAAACGGGAATGACTTAGTTGCCCACCCAATATATTGTGTTGATGTGCTTCAAGATTCGCGGAAATAACGCCACTCATAGGTTATTAACTTTGAAAATTATGACGTTACGCAGCGCATTAGTCTTTAACGTGAATAATTAAATTAAGTGGCTTGATGTCGTAAATTTATTACTTATTTCGCCTTGTTCCAAATTTTCATTTTCTTACCTTACTTGTTTGTAGTAACCCTTAAAATCTATACAAATTATTTTTTGCATTGACTCGAATGAATGGTTTGCATTAAGCCGTTGTGCCCCCCCCCCCATCCTCCTTGTAGTCAAATGTGTCTCCTCCCTCCAAACGAATTTAAGTAGCGCAGTGTATAGCACAATGTATTCGAATCTCTGGAATTTTGTTTGTGCTCATGATTTATACTCTACGGCTAGCATAATTTCTCTTGAAATTTATTATTTTTTCCTCTAGACACTCTCTTCAACCAGCACCGTGTTTGATCGTCGTGACTTCATCACTGAGGCATGTTACATGAAGCAATTCCAGAGTTTCCACATAGTACGTCTCTTCGGTATAGTGAGCAAATGCACCCCCTCGTCGGCTGTTGGCGTTGCGGCCCGCACATTTCGTAGTGCTGGAGCTGCTGGAAGCAGCAATGGGAGTGGTGGAGCGGTAGTTGGTAGTGCCGGCATCAACAACTCGGGTGCCAGTGCTTCTGCTGGTTCCTCTGGTTTTCCACACACCAAATTCCACTTCTCGCTATGTCAACTATTCTCTGGGGGCGGTGTTGGAGGCTTTTGCCGTCGACGTAATCGTCGTCCAAATCGTCAGGCAGTGCCCGTACCCGTGAAAAAGAAACCGTTCGCTCTTATGGGAGAAGAGACGACTAGTTCTACACTCTATAGAAATGGAGATTCCTCCCTTAATAGGTCTTTCAAGTCAAACTCGAATATTGGCGGTACGTTTTCATTTTTTCTACTAGAAACTTGTACTGATTTTACTGTGTATCCCCAGTGTTACCAACCCTTTCAAAATTCAAAATAAGTGAGAAGATCGAGACACCTTATCACGGTCATAGAGTTGTGATGGGTGATCAAAATTTTTTATTAAAAATTTAGTTGACCGAGTTCGCGTTCTTTGTTCGTTCAACTTTACAAAAGAAGCATTTGCCAGTAGATGCAAGATACATAGACTGAGCTAGGGTACGAAAGTTCTACGGTTTCTTTACTTGCAAATCTCTCGTGGTTTTTTACAGATGAGCAGACAGTTGGAAATGGAACTTGTGGGGATACAGAAGATCACCCTGCCGGACGTGATCGCTTGAGAAGTGGCCGATTTGGCAACACGCCCTTTTCTCGTCTACTAAGAAGAGCTCAGAAAGATGGATCTACTGATGTCACTCAAAAAACCGGTAATAACTTAGATATTCTGTAATGCTTGTGTTTGGTGAAAAATCTTTACGTTGTGTGTTGAGTAGACAAATACATGCCAAGTTTTAGCAGGTCTGAGCTTTTAGACAGATTGTTTAAATGGTCCCAATCACTTGTTTAGGAGTAGGCTTGGAATTCTTTTTTTTAACGGATCCAGGTCAAAATATTGCTATGATCGGTATTGCAAACTTGTATTACTTATTTCTATAATGATTTAATATCTGTTGCATGAGATAGCTAGGCACTCCTATCGATGGGGTCGAACAGAAGTATATGGTGGGGTCAATATGTGGGGAGGCTTAAATATTGGGTTGGCAACTAAGTCATTCCCGTTTTTGTTGACAGATTCACTCTATACTTTCTTTTGTTTTGTAGAGTATAAATCATGAGCACAAACAAAATTCCAGAGATTCGAATACATTGTGCTATACACTGCGCTACTTAAATTCGTTTGGAGGGAGGAGACACATTTGACTACAAGGAGGATGGGGGGGGGGGCACAACGGCTTAATGCAAACCATTCATTCGAGTCAATGCAAAAAATAATTTGTATAGATTTTAAGGGTTACTACAAACAAGTAAGGTAAGAAAATGAAAATTTGGAACAAGGCGAAATAAGTAATAAATTTACGACATCAAGCCACTTAATTTAATTATTCACGTTAAAGACTAATGCGCTGCGTAACGTCATAATTTTCAAAGTTAATAACCTATGAGTGGCGTTATTTCCGCGAATCTTGAAGCACATCAACACAATATATTGGGTGGGCAACTAAGTCATTCCCGTTTTTGTTGACAGATTCACTCTATACTTTCTTTTGTTTTGTTAACGTGGCCAGAGCATCTAACCTATATTTTCTTCCTACTGTATGGGCTTCTAGGTTAATTAGTAAAAAATCTTTTTTATTTAGTTCTTTAGTTTTGTTTTTATCTCAATTTAAAAATGAAAGAACAGGACGTGCACTACCGACACATTTTATTGTATTACTTCCGAAAAGGCAAGAACGCATCGCAAGCACAAAAGAAGTTATGTGCCGTATATGGAGATGAAGCCTTAAAAGAAAGGCAGTGTCGAAATTGGTTTGAAAGATTTCGTTCCGGTGATTTTTCACTGAAAAATTCACAACGATCTGGCCGCCCAGTCGAAGTGGATGAAACCCATATCAAGGCCATTATCGATTCAAATCGTCACAGCACAACACGAGATATTGCAGAGAAGCTCAATGTGTCGCATACATGCATTGACAAAAAAATAAAAACCCTTGGTTATGTCAAGAAACTTGATTTATGGATCCCTCACCAGTTAAAGGAAATTCATTTGACGCAACGGATTAGCATCTGTGATTCGCCGCTACTGAAACGCAATGAGAATGATCCATTTCCGAGGAAGAACCTAGTTACTGGCAACGAAAAGTGGATAGTTTATAACAATGTTACTCGCAAGAGATCATGGGTGAAGCAAGATCAACCAGCCCAAACAGTATTAAAAGCAGAGATTCACCAAAAAAAGATTATGCTGTCAGTCTAGTGGCATCACAAAGGAATTTTGTATTTTGAACTCATGCCACAGAACCAAACGATAAATTCAAATGTGTATGTTGAAGAACTCGAAAATCTGAAGGATGCAATTGAAGATAAGCGGCCGGCATTATCAAATCGGCGGAAGGGTGTTGTTTTCCATCATGATAACGCAAGGCCCCCCCCCCTCACATCTTTGGTTACTCGGCAAAAATTATTGCAACTGGGTTGGGTTGTTTTGTCACACCCACCATATAGCCCTGACCTTGCGCCTTCGGATTACCATTTGTTTCGTTCCATGCAAAACTCTTTAAATGGTAAAATTTTTAACAACGCGGATGATGTCGGATCACACCTAATTCAGTTTTTTAATAGCAAAGATCAGACATTTTACGAACGGGGAATTTTTACTCTGCCAGAACGATGAAAAAAGGTCATCGACAAGAACGGCCAATATCTAATTGAATAAAGTTATATTTTTAAACAAAAATTCCGAATTTGCCTTCTTATTTGACATCGGCAATGACTTAGTTGCCAACCTAATAGCTCGAATATTGGAGGTGTCGAATTCAGATCTAATTTTTTTGAAGCTTAATTTTCTTGAATAGTTGGTTATGCCACTTCGATCCACTTCTGTTTTTGTTCTAACTAAGCAAGTGGATAATAATGTTAGTAACTTTGGTGGGGGTGGGGGGTAATTGGTATGATTGATGCCAATTAGTCTCCCTCCTTCCCCCCACCACCCCCTACAAAGACGTATCTTGTAGCAGAAACTAGTCAAATTGACCTGATTAAACCTTAACTATCCTCTGGCAAATTCGGCTTGTATACCATTGCTCTCGAAATTGTCTAGGGTACCTTACCCATTTCGAGGACACAGTAAGTAGCGTTTACTGCAAATTAAGGCCAACTGCAAAGATGATTAGTAATCGAACGCAAATTTGAGTGAGTATTAATCACTGATTGACTGAGAAGGTCTCTGCACGCACGCCCGCGCTTTCCAGCTCATTTTTGGTTGGCCTTACTACCGTGATACACTCCACAATCCATGTTCGCCAGTTCAATAACTCATCTATTTTATGCCTAAAATTTGTTTAGTGGCTGCTTAATATGATTAAAATAAAAAAAATTGTTATCATATGCTTGAGTTTCATTTAAATGATGCCTTTGCACTGGTGGTTTGAAGTAGGTTTGCGCCAATTAGATTTTCGAGTTTTCACCCCCGAAACTTTTAATTATTGTTCCTTAAATGGTTGTTTTTCGGCGGGTAATTCTTTGCTTCCTCTAATCCTTAACCCCAAGAGTGTGTGTAAATTATTCGTGCTATAATTATCTATAATAATCGTGAAGAAACTTGAATCCGTTAGCAGAAAGTTAAGCAAATATTTGCGAAAAAAGGCAGAGGTCAGCGTCAGTTGTTTTTTTTGGTTTGGGGGCTGTGAAGTGTTTATTTAATGTGTAGGTAGTTCAAGTTCGCAAGAACGTGAACAATCTTATCGGCGATGTTCAGTGCCTACTTTCCAATGTTTTAGACAAACAATGTTGTTCTTTCCCACTTCATTTCATTCTTCTTCATAATAAATAGTTGAGAGGACAATAAATCTTATAATATTGCACAGTTGATAGTTTTTTAATCTAATGGTGAAGAGGTAGCTCAACATTAAAGATGGCAGATCGTCGTAAATCTCTGTACAGACATTTTAGTGTTCAAGGCTATACCAAGTTATTGCCAGTCCATAGAGATTGGATACGGTTTGCTTGATTGCAAAGTTAGCCAAGGCTCATCATTATTGGAGCACTTGGGCTAATGCATACAAAGATCGCAAAATTGGCCATGGAAACTAGAATCGCGGTCTATATGCTCGCTTGTGAAGACTGAGGACTTGAGGTTTATGTTCATCGCTAACATTCAGTAATGGTAATGACTTGATTAATTACAGTCAATAGGCATATGAGTTTCTCATAAGAGCGATTCCATGTTACTTACAATCCAAGTAAGGTGTTGTTAGCTTTCTCCTTGATGTGTGTGATTCTGTAATTGTATAGTGCCAACTACACCTTACCCATACGTATTAGGAGCCGGAAATCGGAATTATACATAGTTGGAATGGTTTCGATTTAGTTACTGATAGTCCAAGTTTGCGTTCCTTCAGCTATATGTGCAGTATCATAACCGAAATTGCTACAGTTTACTATGTTTGTTGTACTTTATTTATTCTCCTTTTCTCAACTAGAGGAGAATGGCTTCCTAGCCCCACAGCATTGCTCCAGTTCTGACTCAATTCGCCCCTTCTCCAATAATGGTCTGTTTGTTGTCATGGAGCTCATGGAAAATGGTGATTTGGCCTCTTATCTCCGCAAACTCGGTGATAGTGGTATTGGGTTTGTGAAACCTATTCAGGCCTACCTCTGGGCTGTTCAAATTGCCGATGGAATGGCGTACTTGGAGAGGAAAAAATATGTTCATCGGTAAGTCTGATGGTGCTTAGTTCTTTTAAGTTTTTAAATTTGCTTTCATTTGTCTTCTTGCATTATTGCAGCGACCTCGCAGCACGTAACTGTCTAGTAGATGTTAGAGGTGTGGTGAAAGTGGGTGATTTCGGTCTGTGTCGTGACATCTACGAGCGCAATTATTATCACAAAGTGGGTGCTGGCAAACTCCCAGTCCGATGGATGGCTCCTGAATCCCTTCAATCAGCCTACTTTACCTCTCGTTCTGACGTGTGGTAAGTATTCGATTGAACAAATTGACTAGGTGTTCCTTTTAATGGTCTGATATCTCATTGTTTTTAGGTCATTTGGTGTGGTTTTATGGGAGATCGCTACAATGGCTTGTCTACCCTACCAGGGAATGTCGCATAATGAAGTTATCACATACGTTCTTGAAGGCAATACTCTTGTCTCCGGTGGTGCGCCCATCAATTGTCCTCCTCTTTTGTAAGTGTGTCGGATTTACTGATATAACCGATAAACAGAAGGTACTATTTTAGTTATTTATTTATTCACTTGGAATTCTTTGTGGCTTAATTTTTCCTTTAAAAAGTTTCAAGATCGTCCGATAAAACTACTAAGGCGTTCAAAGCACTTAACTTCGATAAAAGGAAAATATTTTTATTATCTTCTACATGTAAAAATTTCATTTTAACACCTGGGTTGGCTAAAGTGTTTATAGCTTGAATGGAGTAGCATTGGCTTGCTTGAAATGCCTCTCAGTTTGATATCGACGTCATATTTGTAAGGGGCTTGATCGAAAGCGGGGTAATTGTAGGCATACGAGTTTGGAAGTCAATGTGACTGAGAAAATAATTTTGAAAAGGCGATTTCCTTTTTTAATAACCTCGCTTTAGTGAACTCAAGCCAACTATTACTCTTTGCGTTATAGGCAGTCCCTAATGTTGTATTGCTGGTCTTATCGTCCCGCCCAGCGACCCAGTTTCTTGAATCTACTCCATCTACTCGCTCCTCGTTTTGCTGACGCTGATTTCCGTCAATCCAGTTACTTTTACGTTGGTGATACCTTTACACAACAACCCCCACCCTACCAGGAATTCGAAAAATCTATCAACGATTCCTCAGCCGCTGCTGCAGCTGCAGTCAATGCTGAGTTCGCAGATCTCCCCACTCTCATCAAGACTGTACTTGGCCCACCTCATTGTGTTGGCGGTTCTGGTGGAAGTAACAGTCTCTCCGAAGACTTCCCTCAACTCACCAGCACAAATCCTGGTACCGACACCATATCCACATTGCATTTTTACAGCTCTTCACCCCAACTTGAGGAAGTGAAGCAGGAAATAACTAGTGAAAACTCTGATGAAGAACTAAATTCCAGTGTTGGTGCCCGGTGATTGTTGTTCGGCAGGTGATAATGGTGTTTGGTTTGCCTCTTTTTCCCCTGTTGTTTCCTAATGGCCATAATGCATCTCATCATACTGCTGTGTTTATATGTTCGTACGCTTTCTGTACAAGTTGGTGTGTGAATCTTTTATTGCCTTAATTGTATTTGTATTAATATTTTAATTTTGTTGAGTTGTGTATTGAATTACATACGCGTCTTGTAGCTTTTGCAAAGCATGGTAAAGTGTCGTTGGGTAAATCGACTTTTGGTTTGTTTATCCGTTCGCGTAGTGGACAACTGTAGATGCATATTTAAATATTCGGACCAGGTTTGTTATACAACAATTTGATCTTAGGTTCGTTGGCTTGTTCTTGCGGTATTTTGAGTTATTGGTAGGCGTTGACAAGCTAAATTTTCTAGCAGACCTAGTAAGAAATAGACCGCGGCAAAGATAGGGATTGCACAAGTCTTACTATTGCAGAATAAAAGTTAGCAAATAATTTGTGCTAATTAAACTTCTGAAACAAGCAGCGGTAAGCATGTATTGATTTACACGCACTTCAAAACTTAGGTATATTTTGGATGCGTAAACTACGCAGTTGACTTGATGTTCGAGTGATCTATGAAGGAAGTGCCTCGCCGCTTAATCTTCCTTTTGCAAAATAGGTATAGCTAGGAAGTGAAAATAGTCAAATTTAGATATTCAATACACATTAGTTCTTGAATAAAGGATTTGAATATCCATATCTTAAGAATACGCTCCGTTTAGTAAATATAATTCAAAATTTTTTCTCATAAGGTTGAATTCAAAAAATAAGCAAATGTACAACCTAAAATATTAGGAATTTAAATTACAATGATATGCGAGGTATTGTGTAAAACAAAACTTGCAAAGATAGTTACTTAATGAATCCAGGTATGAAAGTAGAAGAATTCTTGTTACATATCAAGGGAACCCGGTTATGGAAGACAAGAGAGCTCCAATTAGAGTACACCTGAGTAAAGATTTGAAAACAAATACAGATGATCAATGCAATGAGCTTATAAAAAAGACCAAGTCATGATAGGCTATTCTGTCCGACGAAGAATTTTCAAAATCCGCATAGTTATAGACAGCAACAGTTTAGTGATTACCAAAATAATGTTTCTAAGCAGTCGAGTGAAACAATCTTGAGAAAAAATAAAAAACAATGGCGTTTATTTTACTTGTATGTTTATGGTCCTGAATTTTAAATAACCAAATTAGGAAAAGAGCCGAAGCTGAAGCTAGATATTTAAGAAATAAGCATAAAAAATGATTGAATAATTAAAATATTACAGCTTATTCGCATAATGTTACAAAATTTAGAGAAAATCAGTGCTGTATTTATAATTATGGTAAAATGAAGAAATTTACCATTTTTGTGAATAATTATTAGATTAAAAAGTTGGCAAATAAAATCGGATTCTAAAAGTTGTCAAGAAAGATATCTCTGTCAAAAGAAGTGAAGGTAATGATTCGTTAATACTATATAACTTTATTTTAATTAATACATCTATCCGCGATTTCTACAAAGTTGGATGGATGCTCAGGTAGGTTGAAAGTTTGCCCTATTATTTTTCATCAACTGCATATCTGAGATGATGAAAATGCCATTATCTTTGGTTTTAGACGTTATTCGTATTCAAAGTTGGGCATAGTGTTTATAGGCGTCGAAATCCAACACCAGACAAAACTCATCATTGGCGTTGTTATATTGAAAGCTGGAGTGATCAGTATCCACTCTCAGAATTTGTCAATAATGTTGTTTTTCAACTTCATGAAACATTTAAAAACCCCAGACAAGGTAACACATTTGTTGTCTATATAATTCTTGTTTCCATTATTATAGTGGTTTATAAGGAACCCTTTAGTATTGAGGAAGACGGCTTCGGAAATTTTCGATTGCTTGCCAGGGTGTCTTTCCTGAATGTTATCACTGATCTTTATTACGATATTACACTTCATGATAACCACGAACTCTACGCATTTCGTACAGTGCGTCTGGATCCAAAAAATTATGATGAATGGATTAGATTTACTCAATATGGCGGCGTAAATATTACGATTAATTATGGTCCCTTACTAAATTATTACTTTCTTCATTACTAATAGATTCCAATACCAAAATCAGCTGATTCGTATATCATTCAACAAACTGTTGTTGAACCTATTCAAAGCCACGGGGCAAAATGTAATCTTCCAATTTCATATTTCTATCCCGACTTGACTGCTGTAAGTAGTAATCCTTTTTATAAAATAACATTTTTTGTTAAGATGTTTTTTTTAAATTATGTATACAGGAGGTTTAAATCTCTGTCAATATGTTTTTTTAAATTAAGTATATAATAGTTTGTTACAATAAATGTGCTAAATCAGAGGTTACGGGATAGTGTAGTGAGCAAAATTACCTTTATCTTTGGTTCTGATGTATCAGAATATGAGGTGCTATTCGTTGTGTCTCCAGAATGCCACTTTCCTGCCTGATTTGAATTTTTTAAGTAACCTTGCAAAAGATTGGGAAATATTTATTTAGTTATTTCAAATGGCAGGCATTTTGATATTTATCATTAGCCCTTTAGTTGACTTAGGGCTTTACAGAAGGGAGGAACATTAAAGTGAGAAAAATTCGACAGGGGGAAAGAAGAACGATTCACAGCTGTAAAAGAGACAGACAGATACAAAGGCAGAGAAATGGCTGGATGAGTTCTGTGGAAGGGGGTCGAATACGGCATACAGTGGGGTCATGGTAGTTTGAAGTCTGAGGTCAACTACCGATTAATAGGCTTTTTTGCCGTATGAGTATACATTGCCCAGGGTGCACGACGACGTCTATCACACACCCCAGATTGGGAGATATATTCTTGTAATTTTTTTGCGTTGGTGCCGTAATTTCCAACATTTACGGTAGCGGGATCATAGTCAATCATTTCATATCTAATGGCTTTGATGACTTTTATTCCTGTAGAATGTGACTTTAGCATACGTTTACGTATTTCGAACGCGTCTTATGGACTCGGGATGGTTTAAATAGTATATTATTTTTTTGCTTAACTGGATTGTCCACTCAATCATTCGTTACCCTTCCCAGTTATTGAAGTAGCTCGTCCGTTTCGCTTCCATTGAAGTAGATTATATTACATTTATTTTTTGCCCTTGCTTTAATGAGTATGTTCTATCCATTTGTTTCTTTAAAATTTCAAGGAGCTGCTTTCGGTGTTTACTACAACCGATGGTGGTGCCCTGCTCTTGATGCTTGTATCCAATTAATCAACCTCTTCTATAATTATTCACAGAATCATTATTGTTTTGAGAAATTGATTGTCAATTACTTGAATGGGAAATATTAGATCTATAGAAGATTGGTTTTGTTATTTTTGCATCTGATTGTTCTATCTCCTTTGGGGAAGAAACCAAAGTAATCTGCATAGTTTGTTATATGCTCGCCCTTCTACTTTCTCAGATCCTTTCCCCACGAGACAGAAGAGAGGGAATATTGTCCAATTTTATTGAACACAAAGCTAATGGTCAAAATGCGGGGAGAACGGAATTGCAGTTTTGAGACGTATAAGTTGATCGCATTAAGTTTGTATTTCAATTCTTGATTAAATTCTATTCACCTGATAGCATAAAGATCAATAGGTCTTCAGGGAACATATTGATCAGGACAAGTCACAGTAGAAATGCTCTTGAGGCAAATGAAGATGAAAACTATTTTTGTAGTACGATAGAGCTTGTATTGATGAAGTGGGAGGCAGTAGGGAGAAAAGCTTTTATAGAATGACGTGTAGTAATCTGCCTTGTTAAGCTATGCTGTGATCATCTACGGATTGGTTATCTTCTTTGAAAAGTTATTCAACTTACCCTCATATTCAAATACACGGACTTGATCTCCAATTTTAGGAATAGTTAATTAGGGGACGAGGTGAATTTAGTTAAGAACGATAACTATGTAGGTCAGGTCATGCTAACTCAGCTCGGTGGGGCTTTGGCTTCAAATCGAATATAAGGCTCCGGATATTAGGTCGCTATATAATGGGGAAAAGTATGAAAAATTGAAAATGACTTCTTAGCGAAATTGATGAGCTTTCATAGAGAATTTGGCATATAGTTGCATTATAAAATGGATAAGCTTCAGATCAGTTAATAAAGCATTTACAAATTATATAGAGTGCTTTCTATGTATTGTTCGCCATATTTTTCTTAAATGTAGGCTATCCTTCAACAGACACCAATCAAATTCAATTCCCCAATTGCCTCAATTCCTCGTAGTAGACCAAGCCGAGAGAGTCGAAAGCAAGCTCTAGCCAATCTAGGAATTCCAGTCACAACGAATGCTTCACCAGCTCCACTAACGAATACCACTGCGGCTACTTCCTCAGTAGTTGCTTCTTCCGGTCGAAATCCTCCACTCATATCCTCTTCCTCCTTCAAACATAAGAAAAAGCTCCAGTTGAAACATGAAGCGCAGCTACGTTTGGAGAAGCAGTCTTCAAATCAGTCTGGCCTTCCTAGCTCTTCCTCGCCTTCCCCTTCTCTTCTTTTACCTCCCACTCTTCAAGCGGTGTACCAGGATTCTGGCTCTGCGTCGGCAAGCTCACAAAACCGCAGCGTTCCTTTTGTCCAACAGCAGCAGCAGCAACAACAACAACAACAACAACCTGAAAGAATCGTCATTCGTCTCCTCCGTTCGGATATTGAGAAGAGTAAAATTAAGAGCAAAAAGAAACACAAACATAAGAGTCGAAGGTCAACCGACGCTGCCGTTGATGATCAACAGCAGCAGCAATCTGGTAGCAATCGATTGGAATGGTCGTCATCAAGACCTCCTAGTGGAGTACCTTCTTATACTGTAAGCGTGGACCCTCACCTCACCCCACCCCTCCCCTACCTATCCTAATAGCCGTTTCGCTTTTAATGATAATACTTGTAGGAAACATGGTCTGCATAAGCCCTTATATAAACTGATCAATAAGGAAAGCTACTCTGATAGAAGCAGCAAGTGATAAGAGGTCCAAAGCGTTATGAATGTGAGCAAGACACCATTTTATCATAATGCCCATAGCACTGGCTCAACAAGATGTGAAATGATACGTATTTGTAAGTTCAATAGGTTGCGAACCAAATTCAAGTTTTTTTATATCAATGTGCTTGGTGGCTTGCACATTAGTAGTAATTTATTAGGCATAAGTGGGAGTTAAGGCAGCTTTATAACTTAGTTTGTGATTCTCCCTACCGTTTCTTTTTTAAATAGATTGTGCGGCCAATTGTTGCAGAGGTACGTCCATTTATTAGTTGTACATCTGTAGATTTGCAGCAACCTGTGCTTTCAATTGCAATAAGCTATTTTCACTAAGTATCCACGCTGATATTTTTGGCTTTGGATTAATTTGCAAAAGTGCTCTAAATACTCACACTTTTAATAAGGCTAAATTGTTCTAGATCTGCTTTCTGTCCAAATACCCGCTTGATAAATATGTTTCCACCTAGTTTCCTTTTGTTGTCCTTTTGTCCTCTTGAACGTTGCTTAAATTTTCTGCGTCGATAGATAAAGCATAAATGTTGATTTGTTTTAGTTGTTGATATTAATTACCATAATTTGTGGTAGTAATATCAGTTATTTGTCTTGTTTTGTTCAATGACCATCGGTGTGTATTTTACTGACATTAATGACTTACCCCACTCGTTGATTCTGTTTAACATGCGAAAGAGTAGAATGGCAGTATCTCATAATGGAGTGTCTCCAAAGCACCTCTTAATTGAATTTGACAGTTTTGTAAGAACGAGTTTATGTACCAGCTGTTGCCTTCAGTTCTTCTTGGAAAGGTGTCAACTCTAGTTAACATTTGCGTTTGAAATCTAAGAACCTCGTTGTCGGGAGGGCCAGGGTTTCCTCTCTTGTAGAGGCATGAAGTAGGACCACTAAATATGTAGCTTCAAAGAACAAAAGCAAAAGGCAGTTGACTCGGTTTTGTTGGGTCTTTGGGTTTAAGTAAAAGGGGATATATCCAACTGATTTGTAAAAATGCTTTGATCGATAGTTTTTGTAGGCACTGAGTCTTGTTATAACTGTTGAGGACGTGAGGGATGTATCTTATGTGAAATTAAAAGCTTTAAAAGTTTTGGAAAGGGAGGGCTATGAGTTCTTGAGGGGAACACATGAACGGAGTTGTCGAAGTGGTTGTTCTCCAATACATCAAATTTCTCTTCCATCAAGATATTTGTCTCTGAGGGAGTAAATTTCCTCTCCTCAATGTGGTAATGAATGGAATAGTTGCTGCAAATGCTGTCTATTAGGTTCGTGGTGACGTAGATATATTGGCATGACTTCCTACTTCTTATCGTACGTTTTTTCCCTTATCCAACAGCAATCTTCACACACTTCACTTGGGGGAGGTGAGGATCACCCTATTCAACCTTCATCATCTTTCTCAACTTCTGCTACTCATTCCGTTCCTCCAGATACCACCGGAGTTGCTGTTGGGAGTCAGAAACCGGTAAGCCCTCTCGCCTGCATTCAATTTATGGAAGCAATAAGTCATGCCATTTGCTACTGCTAGTTCCCAGATTCCCCTAATACCACCGGGATATCTACATTTTATTGGCCTATTCGCCTTCTTAATCACATGTTGTCATTTATCCCCAAACTCGTCCACTTGTCCATGTGAAGATCCATCCGCTTCATAATGAATTCATTTCGTTTCTTGAATGAAGAACTGTATGCCATTTATGAACGCCTGTTTACCTATGCCAATTTTTACGCAATTTCTGTGTGCTTTCTACTTCTCTAGAATTCCATTTTCTTATTAGGTTACTGTGCCAATTCCATTACTATTAAGTGAAGTCTCATTGGAACACTTCTAAACAGAGCAACATGATAGTTGAAAAATAGCTCTTTTCTAAATCTGCTTTATTAGTAATCGTTTATTTCAGAAATAGGGGAAATACGCAATAGAATGAGATTTACCTGTCGTTTCTTACACTCGAAATTAACTAATTTCCGAACTTCATAGTTGGGCCAATAATTTATCACTTTCTAAGACATTTCCTTTTAAAGAGGAAGTTAAATGATTAATTTATTTATTATTAGTTACTTTTCAATCAAAATCTGCCTATTCCCCGGAGGTTGTGGTTTTTTATGCTCTGAGAGTAGTCAGGTCGGATTACTTCAGACGCTCCACCGGTTAGAGAATACTTTTGTTCTATATTTAATTTAACTTGATGATCATATTGGGCCTATTTGATCACAGGTCATGAGAGTCACATGGTAGAAAATTTTTGATGAAATAGTGTAAAAAATGGATTGAAATTTTAAACCGAGAATTTAAATAATACGTTTATTTTCTCCATTTCATTATTCGTAGGCAGAGCAAAGTGAAACCGGTACTTTCCCGCAAATGGACTCCCAGCAAGCGACTTTGGTTTGGCTATCTCAGCTCAAAGGTGGGCCACAACCTCTTGTCTCTCCTCTACCACCACCTCACACCACTTTCGGCCGCACTTCTTCCTCTTCGCCCTTGCCAGCTCAATTGCCATCGCAGACGCATCCTCAATCCCAACAGCTACCTCAATTGCCTTCAGTGGGAAAGGAATCGGTGTCCAAGGAGTCCATTTGTAAGGATTCAAAGTCACGCCGACCCCGGAAGGATTCGAAACGAACTAACTCCCCGGGTCCTTCTAAACAAGATACAGGTAAGCCATTGGTGCCGTTTAAAATGTCTCACAATTCAAAGCATGTTCATTAAGTATGCAGTAGAGACTGCGTTGGGATAGCGTATTTATCAACTTTTCCGTCCTACTTCTGTTGACGCAGGTCTTAATTGTTGCGTATTAATGTTCTTTTTGACACTAGCCACTAGTAAAGAGTAAATACTGCCATGCAGTAAACCAATTGATGGAAAGATTTTTGTTTTCTGAATGGGGGGGGGGTCAAAATTCCGAATGACATTTATGCCATACTTGTATTTTACAAAAAATGAAAGCATTCAGAAAGCAATAATTGATGTCTACGATAATCGCTATGCCCCTAGAATACTAATTCAGTCTTTTAATACCATATTGGCTCTGATGTCTTATCTATCGATTTAAAACTTGTAACCACTTCTTACTTCAGTAAATAGGTCTGAGAGCATGTTGGAAATTTCCAGTTCTCTTCAAAGGACCTCCCCTGATGGCAGAAATCGCAATATTATCTCGTCTATAGGATTATCCCCCGATTCCACCCCACCAATGTCAGTCGAACCAGTTCCGCAACCAATACCAGAAGACAGCAACTCCACCAACGAATTTTCAGGTGCCTACTTTGACAATGAGCAGTTGGAGAAGTTGTTTGACCGTCTTTGTTCCTTACGACATGAAGAAAGTGCATTGAGATTGGGAGAGATTTTAACACGATATAGCAAACGCACCGATTCAGATTGTGGAGTGACTGTTGTGGAATTGCCCGACTCTTATCCCACGGTGATTTCATTTGATTTGAGAAAGCTTCCTCCTCCTTGCGTTCTTGAATTGGCTCAAGTTGCCTTGGATGATGAAAATATGCCAACATCTCCTAGCTAATAGTTGTTGAATTCATTTATTCTCCCTCTCCCCCACTCCCCATTTTGTACATGTTGTCTTTCATCTTTTGGAATCAAATACTCTTTTAGATATCCTATATTTTGAAATGTAACTTTCTTGAATAAAGTTTTAACATACCGATCATCTTACTTTTGGCAGGTTGTGGCAAGGGATCTAGCAGTGGAGTTCGCTGCATTCTAAAATATGTCCTAGTGTAGTGTGGAATTCAGATAAGTCAATTTGATTGTTGTAAGCTAATTCCTCAGATGGCGCATGTCTGATTGTAATGTTTGCTTAGGAGGGGGGGGGGGGTTTTCCGGGACATGCACTTAGGTCTAAAGGAAGCAAAAATTGAGAACTTTGCGCTAATGTGTTAATCTAGTGGGACATCAGTAGGTGATAGGTGATGAGTCAAAAAGTTCTCAAACAAATTCCATAATATTATAATTTACGAGTGTTTGCATTCATTTTTCGGCATAGCCCCTATTGTTGTAATCCGGATTTCCACCTGTGGATTCCCTAGTGGCAGAATTTTGGGGCTCTCCCTTGCACCATGAGCTTGTGTGTTTCTTCGTTTAATCTAAGAAGCATGAATCGGGTGCCTTAAGGGTTTTATTTCAGTTTTGGAAACAAAAATAGTCTGAGGGAGCTAGGTCTGTGTACTACGCGGAAGTGGTGGAAGTATTTTCTTTCTAAATTCGAGAAGCAGGATCGCGACAGCTCTTAGGGTAAAGCCATGGGCATTGTCATAATGAAACAAGATTTGCTTGTGGAGTTCCACTCGCTGTTTTTGACGAGGGATATCTTTAACTTCTTTTACGCCTTCATAAATACTTGCGGTGAATGTTTTCGCCCCTTCTAGAAAGTCTGCCATCATCACCACTTTTCTATTCCACAAAATTGTCACCATGGCTTTTTTGATGGACATTTCACCTTTTGACAGGCCCGGATATTCCCTTTGGATGCCTCACTTTTGATTGGATTTTATTTTCGGGTTCAAAGTTGTTGATCCAGTTTTCATCTCTGATAACATAGAGCTTAAAATTTTATCCCCATTCGCTTCCGTCTTTGCCAAAGCAAGTTCAGTTCTTTGGATCAGCTGTTTATCTTACAACGCTAGTAGTCCCCATAGTGTCCACCAAGAACTTTCTCAAGCCAAGATTTTCTGTGAAATCTTAAATCCTGATCCGTATGCGATTCCTACTTCATTGGTAATTTATCCATTGTCAATTCGTCCGTCTTGTTCCACTAGATTGTGCATAAGAGAGATGTTTTCCTGGGTTTTTGCTTTGTTGGGTCTCCCTTCTCGACGGTCGCCATTAAGTTACACTTTTCCCTCTCTAATGCGTTTACTCAAATCGTAACTGACTGCTCTACTTGGCTCACGGTCCACAAAACCTACTGCAAAGGTCCTATGATCTGAGCAGGTTTCCAATTTAATTCAGTTAAAAATTTTATTAGCCCAGATCTCCAAATTTGACATTTGAAGAGCTAAAAAGTACTGTCTATTTTGAGAAGTAACCTGTCTCGATCTTGACCTTAAATGAAATGATCAGTTGGGTGTCATTAAGGAAGCTCTAAAGGCGTGTTTGAACTCGTAAATCGTTGTTCTATTTATAGTTTTGGCTTGCGAACTTTTACACTCACCCTCGTATCCATATTAAGCTGTGGGTAGATAACATGGCTTAGGATTGAACTGCCTAAGAAGGTGGCATTACATTTTTAGTAGTGGATAAAAGCATATGATAGTTCAATGAAGGCTGATGTAGGAACCAATCAATAGATGACAGGCATTTGAAACATGACTCAATCAAATTACCCATAGTTGTCCATTGTGCTATATTGTAATATAAGAATTTGACCCCTTAATTTCACTGTGATCTGAGATAGGTCGCGGTGGTTGCTATATAGGTGAAAAGTTGCAAGGAGAAGACTATTCGGTCTTGTTGATCGATTAATACGGGCAGGTCAATAATCTAGCATACCGGAAAACTGTTACTTGGTAAGAAATCACCAAATGCAGAAAGCTTAAGATGTCATAACTCAAAGAATTTTACTTAAACTTGCTCTTCCTACCATTTACAAATTTCAGCTATAATATGGGTGCTCTGTTTGCACATGTTCAACACGTCAGAAGTGTGAAATAAGTGTCAAATCGAATAGGCTTCTCCAACCAGCAGCATACAATAGCGTTTACCTAAAAGGGACCACTACGCAGCAATTCCTTTATCTATCATGTGCATGATTAATTCAGCTTAATTAAGATTGCTCACCAGTTCCTAATCCCATTATGAAAAGTGTCAATGGCGCCTAATTTGATGGGGTGTGCGATAGACTTACCTCTACGTGGTGCACCCTGGGCAACGTATACTCATACGGCAAAAAAGTCTATTAACCGGCAGTTGACTTCTGACTTCAAGCTACAATGTCCCCACTGTATTTCATATACGACTACTTCCACAGTTCTCACCTCGCCTTTTTCTACCTTTGTGTCTGTCTCTTTTGCATCTTTGGAGCACTCTTCTTCCCCCCCCCATCCTCTCGACTTTTTTTCACTTTGATGTTCCTTCCCCTCTCTGTGAAGCCTAAAGTCAACTAGAGAGCTGATGATAACTATCAAAACGCCTGCCATTTGATATAAATAAATACACCTAATTTGNTGTGTGCGTCATCGTATGCCTGCATGTCTGCTCGCCAGGATTGGGAGGTGCGGCCGTACAACTCCGTGTGCAGCGACCGTTCCAACAGTGACCAATCATCGACCTCTGTTTAACCTAACCCCCCATCCTGATCATGAGTAGCTCCCTGCGTGTACACTTTATCCGCAACATACTCACTGAATAACCGTGCTCCGTGCTACTCGTCTGTTTCCTTTATAGCTGGGCTATGGTTTAGCTGGTTCTGAGAGTCTTGCTAGATGTAGGAGGAACTGCCATAGAGATTTCTGAGTCAGTCAGGCTTTAATAAAGTAGCAATCCGTTACACTAGCGTTTATTGCCAACATTTTCTTGACTCTCGTGGAATAACATTTAGTTCAAAAAATCGTTCCACTAAAACAAAATGTCATGTCACAGCCTGAAACACCTCAATTAAAAAAACATATTCTCTATTCCTTGCCTTAGAAGAAAAGGTGTGTTTAAAACGTGAACACATCTTACTGACCTCAATTTATGAAATTTATCTAATTTACCTCGGTCTAAAAAATAGCACGTTATTCTAAATAACCTACTCATTACACCAAATTATAAATTTCACCAACTTAATGCAAATATTTTTTCACAAAGGAATAACATTAAAATGTACGAATTGGTTGTACTTGAATATAACCACAAATCATTTAAAGAACTCACTCGCTTGTAAAATATTGTCATATCAGTTTGAATAGCCATACTTAATAAATATACAGCAAATAGTTAAACTATCAAAAATAATAATGTGTTGAAACAAGTTATTTCGTATAAAAAATGTAATTAAAATCATACCCGTTGATTTTGAGAATCAGCGAGAGTTGCAAATAATTCAAAGTCACAAAAACAGAATGCTGAATCATAACGAACTCAAAACTACCTAACATCAAGCAAAAAGCGCAGGCGTAGATTTGAGTAAATTAAGAAATTTGGTTAACTACTCAGGATGACACTTTGGAATATATTTCATCTTAGGCCAACTACTAATTACATTAATCTGAGAAGTAAATTTTTATTATTGATCAAATGAGGCAAGAAAATTGAAGGGTACAGCTTGAATTATTAGTAAACTTCAATGCTCAGATTATTAACCGGTTGGTTAATTTGATTAACTAATTATGCCCTCGTCAATTTGTTTGCATTTCAAAAGTCAAGTAAATAGAATGCCACTAGCTTATACGGTTTGGATATGTCTTTAGTCACTCTCTAGTACCAACACGTTCTCTATCATTGGCAAACCTCAGCTCACCAGCGCACAAAGCACTCGAAATCTATCAATGGCCTAATCGTTCTGTTTAGACATCCTCCTCTTTTATTATAGCCTTCCAATCCTTTCTTTCTTTTCACATGATTTCCTTGAAGTCTGGTCGAACTTTTACCAACAAAGCTTCTAGACTACTCATTTTAGAGGAACGATTACAGCTTGTGAGTTTTAAGGAGATAAGTATGTCAGATTCGACCACTTCCACAGTACTACTTTTTCTACCTTCGTCTTTGAATCAATCTTCTGTTCTGCCCTTTCGACTTTTTTTCATTTTAATGTTCCTTCCCCTCTGTGAAGCCAGAAGTCAACTAAAGGGCTAATGATAACCATCAAAACGCCTGCCATTTGATATAAATAAATAAATATTTAGCTTAATTTGCGCACTTCCAAAATAGCCTCATGAGTAAAATCAACACAGATCATTTTTAAATAAAAAAATTAAATGACTATTCTCTAATGAGTTAGCTTTCAGACTCTGTCTCCTTGTAATATTTTGGACCGATTTAAATATAGCGGAAGGACAGTAATTGATGATTGGCCCACTGAGATCTCCATAAGCTTTGAGCTAACTTTGATTCACTTGTGAATAGGTAGAAATGAGCTATTGGGATCCAAGGAGAACCTGATGAAACCATTGAGAGGCCATGAAAATATTAGCTTATGTGAATTCCTGTTTTCAAAAACACAAGTCGTCACCTCAATGGAAGTTCAGTGAAGTACAGACAATAGAATATAAATCTTAGCGCCATCGTGAGGATCACCATTCATTGGACAAAGATTTAATGCGAACCTCTTGTGCTCAAACTTGACTCAATTTATGTCTTATAAAAGGCATGGGTAGGTAAAGAGTCACATCCAATCGCTGACAAGAGATACACTTCATTAATTCATTTAATTTTACTGAATGAATTCTGTGATCTAGTCACTCCACCCACCTACCCACCACCCTCTAAAACTACATGCTCACAACTAAATCACGAATTACTTTAAAAGATCTCCAAATGCTATACCTCACTTTCTTCACCTCCACAACACCATCACCCTAGGTTGGACTTATACGCTACTCACCGACTTTGCAATTTCAGTGCAAGGGGTCACCTCTTTCGCATACTCGTGATTCAGAAAAGCATTCACAGAAACTCAACAGAAAAAAGACAGAGATCAACAAAACTTAATAGCTCAAATTTATTGGCGCATTTCATACATTGTTCAAATAAGCAAGACCACATTAAAATCAATAAAATTTAACAGGCTCCCTAATTCCATCTCCTTCCTCCTCATTCAAGGCTTCCTCCACTGAGATCATCTTGTTGNAAGTGTCAATGGCGCCTAATTTGATGGGGTGTGCGATAGACTTACCTCTACGTGGTGCACCCTGGGCAACGTATACTCATACGGCAAAAAAGTCTATTAACCGGCAGTTGACTTCTGACTTCAAGCTACAATGTCCCCACTGTATTTCATATACGACTACTTCCACAGTTCTCACCTCGCCTTTTTCTACCTTTGTGTCTGTCTCTTTTGCATCTTTGGAGCACTCTTCTTCCCCCCCCCATCCTCTCGACTTTTTTTCACTTTGATGTTCCTTCCCCTCTCTGTGAAGCCTAAAGTCAACTAGAGAGCTGATGATAACTATCAAAACGCCTGCCATTTGATATAAATAAATACACCTAATTTGATAGATACGGTAGGTCTTGGAACTGCTCTGATATGAAACACTAATTTTCAAAACTTATGCACTAGATAGAACCAATCAGGTTGGTTGATCCTTCAATTAGGTAAATTTGGTTGTTCTCTAACCGGGACAGATGTATCCTGACCATTTAGTACAAGAAGACTATTGTGCATTTGGCATTTTCCACTAAATCACGGAATTAGGGGTGTTGTAAGTTGACGCACGTCTAAAATGGAACTGGTTGTGATACTGAATTTCGAATTATCTCCTCTAAAATTTCTCCAGCACTGACAGAATACTTAATCCAGTGCGCCAAATTTAGACATAATTTCAAAGAATTGATTATAACACGTAGTGTCTGAAGTAAAGCAACGCATAGGGCTGAAATAATAGTATTGTCCAAAAGCATATACAAATCGTCATACGTTATACGGGCCCTTTCTACGTGGAGGGGAATGAAGTCCCAGTGGGTAATCAAGTAACTGGGTAAAAAATTGATGTGATGGGGCTAAATATAGAATAAATGACAACAAGCCATTAAGTCAACGATCAATCATTACACTTTGCAAAGTGGAGTTGAGATGAGCTTGATTCAATTTCCTTTCACACGCAGAGTTTGATCTTATCAATAAATAAGTAAACAAGAAGGGTGTGTAAATATAATGACAAAAATAACTCCAAATCCTGAAATGATAAATGGATTTAATCTCTTTGTGGTATCCACAGTTTTGTGCTAACAATTTTCCTTCTGTTTTGGTAGAGAAGGGGTGTTTCGAAGGTATTCCTCCTTCGATGCCAGGTTATACTGTATCCAATTGTGAAAGAGTCCTCTGTGCTAAAACCCGTCTCAATGGATATGTTCTCCGGGGCGGGACTCTCAGCTACTCGCCTCCAAATCTGCCCGGGTCGAATGATCAGGTCGGCGTTGGAAGTAGCTTGATTGTGGGTATTCGTAGGTTCGGAAACTACAATGATTAAGCTGTGTAAGCAATGCTATTTGATGCAACTGCAGGTAGATTGCAAGGTAACCTCGTCTACCACTTCCAAATTTTCTTTTGGCTTCGATTTTTCATACCTGGTGGAATAAACTCAAATAAGTGAAAGTCAAAACGACGATTGAACAATCGTGAAATGTTACATGGATTCTTGAGCACATTTTTGTCCACATTATCGCCAAGTGCTATAATTACGATGCCCTTTCGTATTCTTTGGTTGTAGCCTTCATTCAATCGATTTACCGCAATAAGTTGGTAGGGGGAGGGGGGGGGGAAATGCCTGGCTGATTTCAGACAAAGTGAAGTACCCTCAATTTCGACGTATTACAAAGAGTTAATTGCATTTGTTGATACTCCCATCGTCGTACTATCAAGTGCTTGAGTGCTATTCTATAATAGCCAATAAGAGGAACTTGAGATATCGCTGTTGACGACATCACTTCCCAGAAGAAATAAACCGTTTATCACATTTAACCCTTTTATGCCCTTAGGACCAAACGGTCCTCTTTCAAAATCAGCCCCAATGGCACTAGATTCATAAGAGAAGGCGCAACTGCCATTGGAAACATCTTCGATGCGTTTATACCCTACTCCTGTTACCACCAATACTCATCACGTCGGCGGCATCTGGCTACTGTGAGACACGCACTAGTGCAATTGGGTTCATTTTTCGAAAAACAAATCGGGCGTTAAAAGAGTTAATAGTTAGGCTGCACTACAGATGTTCACTACAGACATCTGTCAGTGCATCTAATTTGGTCATCAGTTAAATGCCTCCACATTGACAGCTTCGTCCGTGCGCTCCCATAAGCAGTAACTACCAAATGAGCCTCTCCATGGTGTCTGCTTATCATCCTATTCACCGGCAAATGGTTTTAGACTATTGCAGATCTACTTTTCCCAAAACCCAGAATTCAGCTCAGATTCTAGAATTGGATATATCCTTTGTCTGTTGAAGTTTTACATTTTTCAGTCAAACACTCTGAATTTCAGAGAGTAGAATCACAAGTAGGGTGATAACTTTGGGCTGAATCAGCCGTCATCGAGTGCGCCACTGCCATTCATGTCCAACCGATATTAAAATTTGACTTATGCATGCTACTAAATTTATATGAGAAAATACTTTTCTTTCATCGAACTTACACTGAGGTCTGAAGTAAGTTTTTCTTGCCACCTTTCCTAAGTACTTAAACACGCAGCTAAATGCAACTTACGCCGAACTAAATGCTGGAGAATGACTTTTCTCACAGTTTGACATCGACTTTGATTCACGCAATCTGCAGTTGAAGAACTATTCCGTGTGCTTCCTTTATTTGCAGTCGCAGTAGTGTCAGCAAATCTCTGAAAAGGTGATGGGAAATTCGATTTTTGTTTCTCCTGTGAGTCGTTTTCCTTGCCAGTGCCATCATTTTTAGTGGATGATTCCAAATGTTCATCACTGTTCACTAGATTTTGAAGGAAATTTATATATCCGATGGCCAGACGAAGAGTGTCCACTTTGGAGAGGCGCTTTTCATAAGGAAGTGTTGGAATTCGAGCACGAAGACCTACAGAAATATACTTGTGCAATTAATTTTGTTAAATTATAAAAAAACTATAATTAGGCAAGCACATGCATCATGAATTAATTATCTAAATATATTTACCTTTCATTTAATAAGCTTGATTAAGAAATACCTATTACCCAAGCCTGTTGAAGCCCCAGTGTTATCAAGATTAAACAAAGGAGCCTCAAATGCGCTAGAATGGTCTGGAAACTGCGATCGTGTTATTGATTTAAAACGATTCTTTCAAAGTAAATGTACTGAGTTACTGATCATGTTCTGCAATTCGTCATTGGCACAAAAGACCCCACTCAGTTTACATGCTCAGTGTTTTAAAAATATTTTGAGCACAGCATGATTAATTATGGAGCAAAAAAATATATTCAAGATAAATCCACTATAGGGACTTTGTATTTGTCAGTAGTTATTTAGACTTCAAGGAATACTATAAAATTTGAGAAAATTGGTTAAATAAGTTGTACCAACTGCAAGCATGACTAATTCTACTGTGAAGTACGCAATTTCAACAGGGTTAAAATGTGCACCCGTGCGTTCTGGAGAGTGTAGTCGATCGTGAAGAGGACTCCTCAAGCAGACAGATATTAAGGTTCATTCAAGTTATGCTAATGTATTCAATTGCTAATCATGTTTGCTGTGATAATAATTTCAGCAAACGTAATACCTACTATATGTCTGTCTCATCAATATCGCTGAGAGATTACTGAGTTCAAATCATGGCTTATTCGTGAAACAATTCGCCACAATGCTACCACAAACTAGGCGCTAACTTGAGAGGTATTCAAATACGCGTCTTTACATATTTAATCAGCGGGGGTGTGGGATAGACTTACCTCCACGTGGTGCACCCTGGGCAA